GCCCGGCGCGGGGAAGCCTCCCGAACCGCGCCTGCCCTGGCTCTATGCGGTCTGGATTCGTTCTGGCTGCAGCTGCAGATGGAAGTTTTCTGGGAACCTCAGTACCGACCTGGGAGCCGACTGACGGGCAGCGCCCCAACTGCGATAGGAAAGGGGGGCTGAGTACAGGCTCCTGGGGTTAATTCCGCTGTAAAGCTTTGGAGGGCATTGTTATTTGAATCAGCTTTATTATTATTATTATTTGGATTCTTAGAATTGTCGCACATCTCTTAATATCCACTGTAGTATTTGGTGTATTTTTTGTTTTGTTTTGTTTTTGTTTTTTTGAGACAGAGTCTCACTATGTAGTTGGACTGACCTGGAACTCACTGTAGTCCAGGCTGGTCTCGAACTCACAGCGATCCTCCTGCCTCAGCCTCCCGAGTGCTGGTAGTATATTTGAAAAGTATTATTTCTTTGAAAATCTTCCAGATTTCAGGTTTTAAATGAGTCAGGTTTGGTTGATCCGTGATACCTCGCCTTTTTGACATTTAACCTGCCTAGTAATTTTAAAACAAGTGATTTCTTTGATCTTAAGACGTATCTTTCTTCTTTTGTGGTGAATTTTTAATGCTTGTAGGTTTTTACAGTGGAAATTCCTACCCAGAGCCAGCCTTTTATAACCCCATTCCTTGGAAACCAATCCACGCGCCCCCGCCCCACGCAGCCAGGGGCCTCTTGGGGAAGAAGAGCCGGCAGCTGGCAGGGCACCGGCTGCTCCCCGCGGTGTCACCCTCGTCCTCACTGGCTGCTCGCGGGGCCAGGACCGGCCTCGGCCTCGGGACTGTGTGCAGAGCCCGGAGATAGCAGCGTGGACCCCTGCCTCCCAGCTCCTGGGTCCGCCCTGGTCGCTGGCCGCCCGGCCGGTGTGTGGTGTCTGCGGGACGGGGCAGGCTCCTGCTGGGCCGTGCCCAGCACCTCACTGTGCCCCCGGTTAGCGTGGCTGCATCTGCGCGGTGAGATCAATAAAACAAGTTTCCTGTGTCCTTCCGTGGTGTGTCATGTACGTCCGTGAACATAATTAGATGTAGGTTAAATGTTCCAACAAGCTTTTCTAAACTACGTGATTATCTACATGGGTTGGAAACCCGGGTAATCAAAACCAGTCTTTGTTGTTGCGTTTGGTGTATTTTTCATGTAGATTCTCACAGTTTTAAAGTAATGAGCTGAGGGCTGGGGATTTAGCTCAGTGGTTCTGCCCCTTCCCTGCCTTGAAAGTGCAAGGTCCCGAGTTTGATCCCCGGTACCAAAAAATAATGAGCTGAAGCTGTCTGTGATGCAGAAATAAGGGTGGGGCTTCCAGGGGAGATCACCTTGGACCTTCGGCTGGTGCAGTGGAATCTCCATTCACTATTTTACTTTGCTGTACTTTGTAAAAATACTGCGATATTAATTCATCTGCTGGCTTAGACATCAGACTCACCAGTGCAGCACCCCTAGGGTTAAAAGTGTTAAATGTTAGGCTTTACTTTCTGGAAGTTGAATCAGATCTTACTGATATATACATTTAGCGACTGAAGTGAGGGCTAACACAGCACTCTGCTTTTTCGTTAGATTTTATTAAGTCCACATCCATTTGGGAGAACTTTGTGTTTTAGGGAGTGACCAAGACACGAAGACTTCCCTTTTCAGAGGGGCTCCTGGTGTGCGGCGTGCGGTGCCGGCCTGCCGTTAGGCTGAGGCAGTGCTCACAGACCGTCTCTGAATAGAAGAGAGATAAACACGGTGGTGCGTGTAGCGGTCACGCCCGTGCTCCTGCCCGCGAGTCCTGTGAGGTCCTGTGGTGGGCACAAAGCTGCGGCCCCGGGGGGCGGGGGAGACCGCGGGCAGCGCCATTTCCGCACAAACCCGAGGAAGTACGGCTGCCCCGGGCTCCGTGAGTTCCCCGCGCCCACAGGGAGAGCCCACAGGGAGAGGTGGAGACTTCCACTGACCTCAGATCCTGCGCTTCACTTCTGCCTGGAGAGAGCGGGCCCCCACCAGCAATGGTCTTGTCTGCTTAAAATGTGTGTAAACACTGCGCACGTTGGTGGAGTCTCTGGGAGTCAGGTACAGTTACCCCACACAAGGGCATCTCTGCTTCCCTGAGGCTCACGTTCAGCAGAACTGGAGTGGGAGGCTTTCCAGTCGCTGAACCCTAACCCTTCCGTCTCCCCAAGTCAGTGGCCGAGCTTTAGTCAGATGGGCCTGGGGGCCTCGGCAGGTTATCAGCAGGGTGTCAGTGAGATCTCCTTTGGACCAGGCGTAGACAAAGTCAGCCTGTGGGGGCCTGTGATCCCAGCACTTGGGAGGCTGAGGCAGGAGGATTGCCAGGAGTTGGAAGCCAGCCTGGACTCCGTAGCAAGACCCTGTCTCCAACAAACAAACATGTCTTTGGAATCCTGTGTATTCTAAATTTTGAGACCCACTAGGATAGTTTAAGAAATGATATGTTCATTTGGAATGATTCGGGTAATTGGAATTTCGACTTCAGTTGTACAGTAGAAAATACATTTTTAATGAATAGTAATATCAATTTGATGTTGGGAATTATTTTTTAGTGTTAGTTTACAAATGAATTACTGATGTTACATAAAATGGCATGGAATTAAAATCTCCTAATTTTATTTAATTTTATTTTTGGTACCAGGGATTGAACTCGGAACCTCGCACTTGTGAGGCAGGCAGCAGCACCACTGTGCTAAATCCACAGCTCCGAAAAATCCCCTAATTTTAACAAATCCCAACTAGCCTACAGCTTACTGAGAGAAAATAAAATCATTGAAAACTAAGTGCATATGATTAGCATATAGGTTATTCCTCAGGTTGTAGATATTAGATAAAGTATTACTCTCTCTTGCAAAAACTGAAGCTGTCGTTTAAAAACAGTGACTGACCGCAGCCAGGCCTCGTGAGGCATGCCTGCCATTCTAAAACTCAGCAGCCTGAGGCAGGATGATCACTGTGAGTTCCAGGACATCTTGGGCTACAGAGTTTAAGGCCAGGCTGAACTACGTAGTGAGATTCTGTCTCAAAACAGCAGCAAAAAGTGACTGCGCAGTCCACTCCAAGTTATCCTTACTGATGTTAAGTAAACCACCCAGTGCAGTTACAGATGGTTCTGGTCGGGGCCCAGTCTCCCTCCTTTCAAGGCCCAGCCTGAGGAAGGGTCCACTGCCGCGTCCTGGGGCTGGGCGTGAGTGTGTAACCCAGCAGCCACCACCGGAAGGGTACAGCTCACTCTGGCCCTGTGCGGCCTGGACGCTGGCTGCAGGCACAGCACTGGGACTCCTGGCCGGGTTAACCTCTGCGGGCGCCGAGCGCCGCCCTCCCAGCTGGACACTGGCCACGCCTGCCACCGGTCACTGTCGCCAAGTTGTGCGGGGGTGGGTGGGG